AACTACTGGCAAATGTCCTAAGTAAACCTAGTGCTAAACACTGTTAAAGCCCAAGAACTTGGTTAGCATCGTTTCCACCCTTGCAAGATTTTATCAGAAACCCTCCTAGCTTAGTCACTCCAAAAGCAATGTCTTAATCACAGCTGAAGGGGAAGAACCTGGACCATGCTATCCCCTGGCATATTATTTATAATTAGTATTACTAGCCCCTTTGCAAGCTTCAGACTGAACTCTCTCATCCCAGAATGGCTCTCCAGGGCCCTGGCAATACAATTGCTCCCAAGGGCTGAGCTATGCATATATTATTATTATTATTATTATTATTGCTGTGCTATTCAGACATGTTGTGTTGTGTGAACTGAATACTTGCAGCAAATAAGCAAGAGGCCACACTCACTGCTTTCACTGTAACTGCCCTGGCTGTAGTTTTTATTTTGGCAAGGAAAATAGCAGACATTTTATTTTAAAAAGCCAAGCAGAGTCATGGTGGTAGCCTCGCTTCCCAGGAGCTTGATCCCATTGGGAGAATGTTGGGTATGTCCTGCTGAATCACTAACCTGAGGAGTTTGTTCACTTCCTTCATTACAGTGGGGAGTAGCTTACCATGAGAGAGAAATGATAAGCCGAGAATACAAAAACTACAGCACATCAAGGTGGAACAAGGGTTTGAACTGCCATACACTCTTTTTAAGCCAAGAGAAGAGGTAAAATGGAGCTTTGCACAGAAGGTGTACAGCTGTCTGTGTGGAACAGGTTAGAAAAAGCCCTGGCTCCCATGTTAATTCTCTTAATCTTGTTACTTTCTCTTTAACCAGCTTAAACTCATGATGTGTGGGTAAGGACAAAACCTCGGTCATTGCTATGTACTTAAGAAGGGACAGCAGTTCACATTCTAGATATGTGAATAATGTTTACCCACATTGGCATTTTACAGCTTGCATTTTCTTCCTGCTATGCTCAATAAAAAACACTGATTGCCCCCATAATCTGTCTGCCATCTTTTCTGGGTGACATTTACTTCAGGGTCCTGCTACCCAGAGTTTGTGCCTGTAGTTTTCCAGCATCAGATTCTGAAAACACTCTACCTGTGAGACTGAAGGTTCTGACCTTTCCAGCCCATCAAGTCTCCATCTGGAAGACTCCTTATTCTGCCCATATCACCTATGCTTCTCTACCATTTATTATGGTTTATATCTTTCAAGCACGTGGGGAACCAGGACAGCTTCTCAACTAATGCTCACCTATGCTGACTTCCTGTCCAAACATCACTACAGCTATTGAAACCTACAAAAAGGAGAGATATAAAGTCATTAATTTATATACACTGGTGGCACTGGTAGCTGGACAGCCCAAGAAGATGGGATAAGATGCTTGCCTGGCTCTGGAAGCTGGTCAATACAGGAGTCAGGAAGGAACTGCTTCCTGCATACTGCAGCTTATGTCCAATTTCCTGAGCCACAGGCTCTTTAAAAAGCCAAATAGAAACCATGGCCCTCCTGAATTACAGCACTATGGCAACTTCTGCTCTTCCAGGAAAATTTCTGGTGGCAATAGTCTCTGGAAAACATGATGTCTCTCGAGATTTTGAAGCCCAGTGTGTATGGGAAGACCTGCTAGGAGCCAGAATCATCACTCCAAGCAAGCAGCATAGTTCAGAACTTTCAACAGAACCTGCCTTGGTTCCCATGGAAGGTCTCTGACCATTTTGGGAATGCAAGACTCCCAGTGCTCATTCTGGGCTTTAAATTCTAGACCCCACTGCCTGTGCTGTCTTCAACTTCAAATATAGATCAGGTCATGGCACTTTGCTTTCATCTGCCTCTGCCAGGGCTCCAATTTGAATATGAACCTCAAAATGCTGGAATCCATGTTTGGAGCAGGTTCAGAGAGGTCTCAGTTAGTGATGGGGTCGGAGGCACTGTGCTAATACAGACAAATAAAAACCTCTCCATCTCAAATAGAAGAATGTGCAAAAGTCAAAAAAGGGAATTATTCTTTCCACCCCAATCTGTGTTCTCTAAGCATTAGGAGACACTTGGCAATGAAAGCACACTAAGGAAACTCTGAGGAGAGTTGAGACAGCACAGCCTGTAAGCATCTAACAGCTTCCTTCAGTAATGGAAACACCAAGTCCGACAGCAAGAGACAGCAGGGCTTTGGAATCAGTTGTTCCTAAGGAGAATCTATTTTCTGAAAGATAACAATTCACAGACAATAATATTTGCAAATGGCTGAATACAGAAAATTCTGACAAAAGCAAGAACTGTCTTACAACCTTTCTGACTAGATCCTGACTGCCGGGCTGTTAATTTTCACTTGCTTCCCAGCATATAGTTCCCCTGGCAAAGGCACTGGCACAGCTTGGGTACCCGCTGAAGTCAAGCAGCAGAGCAGGGCACCCATTTTAACGTAAATATTTTTTATGAGTGGTTGTTTGGCTGAAGCTTTGGAGTCACAGTTTGTGACAGCACGACTTTGTGTTTTGTAGCAATCACAGTTCAAGCAAGGGTTTCGGGGACTGGTTTCTAAAGAGCCAACACAGAGATCTCATTCGATCATTTGTTTAAAACCAAAGCAAACATGAACTAAAGTAGCCACAGTAACAGGTATCTTGCTACCCACTGGGTACCTCCATAGAGCAGAAAGAACAGATTAACTAACAGCAACATCTCAGGAGATTGATATATCTTTTTAGACAGAGAATGGGACCAAAATTGTTGCTCACTGATCTGTAAGGCAGAAAGGATTTTGCCTTTCCACATCTCAGGACTAAAGGGTCTATCCCCAACAAAAAAATTGCTGGGTGCTACCAGATGTGAAGGATGATCTCCTACAAGCACAGCTAACAGTTTGGTTCATGGAAAAAAAACCCCAAACACCTAAACCCCCTCACTTATTGCCATTACTATAACATGCAGACAGAAATTACCAACTTTATTTGTCAGCCAGGATCTAGTTTGGCCACAGGAAAGATGGAAATGAGGTAGTCAGTCACACACAGCTTTGAATGCCAACCTGTAACCAGCTCATGTTACAGGATAATTTCTATTTGTGTCACAAATACAGGTGAGGAATCTGGATAGATCACAGCTTCCCTGAGCAAGAATAGACAACCAGGATTTCACCCCTAAACAGCATTACAGAACCAATCTGGTCTGAATATTATTTAGTTCTATTATAATACTGCGTATTAACTCTAGCTTGTGGTTGGGGTCTGCATAAAATCCTATCAAACGCAGATCTTGCCCCAAAGGTTTATAGTTAAAAAAGACAAAATAGATCAATGAAGGATTGGGAATTTGGATAGACAGACATGAACTGCCTTATTCCAAGGTCACACAATACCAAAGTTAAGTATTCAGAGTCTTGCTCTTTACACTTCAAGCATAATAGAGCCTGCATTCCTGGTGATGGTGAGATTTCCAGCCAGCAAGACAGGGCTGGTTCTGGGAATTCCTTTGCAGAAGACAACCGAGGTGCAAATATTGAGTCTAGTGCTTTCTAAGTGGGGTACAGCAAACCTTCAAAATAAAGTGCAGTAGAGGCTTGAAAAAATTAGGAACTCTAGTTTGCCATTTCATGGGGTTATATTTTGTTCAGGAGATAAAGCTACCCAAACACCAGACAAATCATCAAACCAACGTTGCTTTGCCTGCACCATTGTCACAAGGAAGGATCAGCCCAGCATTAAAAATCCAGGGCTGAAACACGATACTTAGGTGGGGAAAGGCAAAATAGTTTGGATTATGTAAATGAGAACTTTTTCCCATAAGGTTTCATCTACCCAGCTGGACATAAACATACCTGAGAGGCTTGAAGAGATTTAAATAGCCATTCCTTTTATCTTCTTGTTTTCTTTGCTGACTCAGTGCTTTTGATTGTTCTAGCACTGCCACTTCCTCATGAGATAACAGCAGCCTCTGTGAAAAGTATTCCGGAATTTGATCTCAGCATCTTTGAAAGCCCTGTATGTAAATCAGTGGCTGGAGCACAGCATCCATGGGGCTGAATTCCTCAGCAGCAAAGACAGGTCTCCACAGCCCTCTTTGTGCAGGCTAGAAAAAGGAATTCTATCCAGGGATACAGTCTAGAATTTAGGAAGCCCTCCTTTACTCCACAGAGAATGTCATCATAAAGGGTCATTGCCTTGCATTCTGATTTTGACAAGGAATTATTATTTTTGCTCTCTTTTCTGTAACTCAGTCCTGCCTGATATTCCAACACAAACTTCATTTTCCCTATCAGTGTCACCAGGCACATGGTGATGTTCAGTCTGCAAGATGTGGGCTCAGTCAGGATGCTCTGGCTTCCTTTCTAAAGGTCAGCAGCTGTTAGTCCTCTCTGTTGCAGGGCACAGAATGATGCCAGCTCTGGTCACACCCATAGGATTTCAGGCTCTTATGTCTGGATGTTTGTTGACAGAGAAGAGCAGAGGAATCTCTTTCCAGCGCTATGCACATACTCTGCTCCTCCTCTGCATCCCATGTAGTGTCCTGTTGCTATCTACCAGGTGGACTCTACTCAGAGCTGGAACTCATCTTGCCTCTTAGCTTACTGCTGACTTATTTTTATACTTACTCCAGTCACGAGTCCTTGCTTCCACCTTTTGACTACTTCTTTCTTAATCCTCTATTTTTTTAAGAGCTCCTAATGCAGAAACATATTGTTTTCTTGTGTTCTTTCCTTGCCCTTGCACTGGGATGATATCCTACTGTCTCCTCAATACTCTTTGTTTCAGAAATTGACATCTCTCTTGCACTCCTTTATCCCCAAGATAATCTTCCGAAAGGCATCCAAATGAATCTAAGTTATTAAAAAAAAAAAAAAAGGAAATGGATGTATTTATGAAATGCAAGTTCTGACCAAATTTTCTTTGCTACCAGAGTAGGAGAATCAATGAACCATTAGTATCTTTTAAAACTCTCCTGCAATTCCCGCTACCTAGCACAATGCAAGAGAATCTGTTTTGTATGTAGATATTTGAAACATTATAACAAACATCAGAAACAGAAAAAGATTTATTAGAAATATTACACAGATTTTTGCATCATACATTTTAATAATGTTAATCTTTAAATATTAGCATGTCCAAATCTGGCAATGCCTAGTATATACATTCTAATGTGCTCTTTGTATAAATTAGATTACGATGTAACATCTGTACCCAATAGAGAAAGCTAAAAGTACTTCACTGTTAGAGATGATTATCCCATATGACAAACTCCAGTCTGGACCAACAATCAATAAAAACACTGTGTCCAGCACTGCCCAGTGGAACTTGGCACACGTGTAAGTTAAAAATGTAGAGACCATCAGCTGAGAAAAATGTTAATTGCAGCTCGGTTAAAAGCTTGATTCTACACCATTTTGGTGAATGAGTCTAAATGGCACTGGAGTTGGTAAAAACCAATATAGTCTAGCATAGTAGAAGTTATTGCTGGGTTTAAAAAACGTCTTAATGCTCAGTGCCCTGAGTCTTTTTAGGCAAAAAGCCCTCTTCTGATAGGAAAATGCATAATCTCATCCCATAGAGACTCTGACGTTTATCAGATGCACCAGGCACAGCTTTGCAAACAGCTGGCTCTGCCAGACCCTTCCTGCTGGAAGACCCGGTACCATAAGCACAGAAAGAGGGAGGTACCAAAAAACTCATGAGTCAACACTTGCATTTGCATTGCCAAGGAGCAGGGAAAGTCAGCGAAGCAAAAAGGTAGATCTTGAGGAATTCCAGGCCAGGAATCGAACAGGGAAGAACCAATCACTCTGCCAGCCTGCACTTGGTTGGTTTGGACAGAAAACTTGCACGTAACTGGTTGCGCTTACAAAATAAGAAAGGAATAGAGAAAACCTGTAAAAACCAACTTCAAATTATAAAAAGAAAACCTGCCAAAACTCAAAGAGAACGTATCTCACTGAGAGGAAACCGGAGAACGTGTCTAAGTCAAAAATCACTCTGCTCAGTACAGCTGCCTTGCTGCAGCACAGGAAGAGCTGGGAAATCTTTGTCCCCTTTGCATTTCCTCGACTGTCACAGGCACAGGAAGGGGAACCTGGCAAAGGCAGCAAGCTCTGTGCTCTCTTCCCTCCTCATCTTCTGAGGTCCACCCCAGGCTGCACCCTTAGGAGAAATGTTACTCAGGATGACATTCAGTAAGGCCTCTCAAGCTGGTGTCCTTTGCTGGCCACAAAGGCCCAGGTACGTATGTCCCACACATGTTCCTCTCCTCACACACTGGACTTTCACTCTGCTCAGTTTCATTGTGCACTTTCAGAAACAGCTCATCAGCCTTTCTAGGAAACCTTCTTAGAGGGCTGACTCTGGGCTCGCTTCTCAACGCCTCTGTACCTTCCACAGTCATGAAACAACTTGTACTTTCTATGACTCACCAGAAATTCTGGGAGGCAGATTGCATACTTTTCATGCTCTAATCTCCTTTCCTCCCTAACAGCTACAGTACAACCGCCACATGATGCGATATCCCTCCATGGAACTTCACCAAAATCCCCATCCTAACCATTCTTCTCACATGCTCATCCAAAATAAATCAAAATATTTGGTTTCTTGTAGTCCAACGGACTACCCGAGTACACACACACAGAGGCATGTGCAGGTGTGTTTGAGAGTGACTGTATATTTAGGGAGCATCTGGTGACATGGTAAAGAGATTTCATCCACCTGCATGAGGGAAAGATCCATTACTCCTAAGAGCCAAAGTCAGAAAGGATTTAGGCAGTTTAGGCAAACTGTTATTGATATAACACATTACACCACCCATGTCATAGCATCACGTGTTCCTTCCTAGGGTATTTTCAGGGGATTCTCAGAACTTCTATGCAGACTATCCCTATGCCCTCTAGCTTAACTTAATTAGCAAACTGTCTAATTTTAAAGGCAGCTAAAACTTTAATTTTGCAGTTGAAATTTGAAATGTCTTACCAGGGCCTGTAGATTTTCTGAAAATCATGCTGGTCTGTAGCATCTCGTGTGGGGTAAATTTAAATTCACGTTCAAATTTTATGGCAGCATGAAAAAACAACAGTAATTTCTGAAAATCCGGGTCTAGAAATGTAACTGCAAGGTTCAAAAGGAAGGAAAAAATACGTGTTTTAACAGTTAAATGAACAAATAAACAATATTCTTAACCTCAAAAAATAACCTCGAAGAGCATCTCTCAAAGTATCAGCATTTCAAAATGAGAAGTTTTGCAGGTTTGAGGACTGAAAAGTAACATTGAGCAAATGGTGAAAGAGTATCTTCTTCCCTGGTGTCCCCAAGGAAAGAAGCTCCTTGTTCTAACTCCTAGATAAGTAAAAAGTTTTAAAGAATATACCATTAGAGTTGGGTAGAATTAGTGTTTGGTCTATGCTACTGGGGGGCATGGGAGAATGAAGCTGCAAGGATATGACAGAAATGTTGCTTTGCAAAAATCATTTGGGAAAAAAAAGCTGCTAGATCAGACAGAATGGTGTGTAAAGTTACAGTAAGTCTTCGAGAAACAGATTAGAATAAATGTCAGAAACACGCTTGAAGCAAGTGTTACTGACACATTAGATAACATACATATGTCGTGTACATCTGACAGTCACATGGAACACACACTTCCAGTGACCAGAGGGTTAAGATCATCTTTCTTTTTTAGAACAAGTAGAGCCCTCTGACTTTGAAATGTTTACCAGACGCTGGGAATTAAAACAGTTTTTCTCATCCCTGCAAGTGCCCAATCCAAAGCCCACTGAGGAATATGGAATTTTCTGTGTTGACTTCACTACGCTTTGAACTGCAGCCCGTCGGAGGGAATTGGGATCTCTGCCAGAGGATGCCTCAAGGGAAAAGAGCCTGCTGCATCCACAAGGCAACGGAGCCCAGCAGTGTGACCGCCTTCCCAAACGAACTCTGCCGGCAGCTATTTCCCTCTTCCATCTTATCACATAACAGGAGACTGGTATCCGCTCAGAGCAACTCCTCCTGCATTCTCTAGGGGTGGCAGAGTATGTGCTGAAAAATACTGGAGAGTTAATTCAATTTAGAAAGCACTCACACTTGCAAAGAAATTACACTGGCCAGCATTTACAACTGCTTTCTCACAGTATAGGATGACATAAAGAGTGCAAGGGCACTGTAAGTGCGTGCCAGTGTCCTTTTTTATCACACAGACTCTCTAAAGATTGAAATGAGACTTTCCTGGGGGTGACAGTTTAGAATAAATGTCAGACAAACTAAGAGCAAGTGATGCTTTTCTCCTCTGCAGAATAGGCATATACTGCATTCCCCCAAGTTCCTTTCTGTTCAGTATCCTCACTGACCTTGGGCACTGTCATCTACTCCTTAATCCTGCATTTCGCTGTGAGAAAACCAAAGTTTGAAATAGGTTGTTTACTAATTAAATAGTATTTAAAAAACCAAAACAACAAAGCACTGTGGGTAAGCCAGAGGCCGAGATCAGCCATCTGCAAAGCCCCAGAAAACCTGAAACCAAGTTTCTTCTGTGAAATCTCTTGTTTATATTTCACAAGCCTTTTTTTCAGGAGTTAAGAGCAGTGAGCACGCACTACTATTTTTTTCTAATAAAGAAATCATCCCTAGCTCCTATGATTAATATTCACAAAGCATCAAGTCTGGCCACAGGGTTAAACACACTAACTAAACAACAACTTTCTTCTACCAGCATGACCTAAAGCAGCGAGGCAGCCTTCTATGAGGTCCTGTACAAAGCATGGTCTCCAAGACCTGCTCCTAGAACGAATTAAGCAGCCTGTTTGATCCTGCTATCCTTGGAGACAAACAGAAACTTTAACTTCATGAAGTGAAATAAGAGAAATGGTATAATGGAAATTAATCAGTACCTTTCAGACATTTTAGTAACAGCATTATTGAGCTGGAAAGCTCTTCTCTGGCGCCTTAGAGATTTCCGTAACACAGAGAGGAGTTCCGGTTACATTCTTTGTAACTTGTGGAGTGAAGTTGCAACTTCCATTGGTGCTAATATTGCTGTGTTCCTTTACAGGGTAACATCACAGTTCATTGGACAGGGCAAAGGCTGTCTTGAGATTCAACCCTCTGCACAGCAATTACATATCTGTGCTGATTATACAGGATCGACAGAGAAGAAGTTACTCCACTCAATCCACAAAAATATGAACTACTGAGATGTCACTGTATTGCTTAGAGAGTCATCACCTGATTACCGGTACCTTGCAAACTGAAGCTAATAAATTGCATTTGCAATATTCCTATAATAACTGTGCCTGCACAGTCAGCTGGGAAACCAGGCTCTGGCTTCCCGCAGTAATCAAGTAATGAAGTTGTAGTAATAAAGCTATTTTTCCTCAAAGAGATTAAGCTCTGTTTGATCTGACATGAAGTCCCAGCACTTAACAGGATCTTTTTAGAGTTCTTTCACTAACTGGTGATGGAACAGAGCGTGGTTTCTGAGTTACAAATGATCCTGTTTATTATCCTGCTGGTTAAGCTATGACAAGCAAACTAGAACACTTACTGGGTCAGAGGCTGAGAATAACTCAGGTTAAGGTTCTCCACAATCGTGTGCATCTGTCATGATGTTTTATAAAATATATGGAGGCAAGAAAACAACATGGATTTTGGGATGAGTTAAGCATGTTTTGGCAAGAAGAGCATTTTTGTGAGCTTTTGTATTTAATATTAATCTCCCAGCCCCCCTTGAGTGCCAGCATAGTCCACATTGATTTAGAACTTCATTTTGTAGCAGGTCTCCTGTTGGTGGAGTCTAGTTTGAGGCAAACATTGTTTAGCACGAGGGATCCTCTTCAGAAATATCCCATGCGTGTTTGAAAACGCTTTGCAATTTCCACCTGGGAATAAAATTACAGATGAATTTGGTTTGTATAGATGGATGATAGGTATTTATTTGGTTGCAGTCCCAGACGTAATCAAAATCATGGAAGAGCTTTCTTTCAAACTAAGAGCTTAGGTTGGTTGTGGAAGAGGAGCAAGTGGATTTTTAAAGTGATCGAGTGCATCTGTAGCATTCTTTGTTCTCTTCCCCACTTCTGTCCACCTCTTGCTCTGCTTTTCAGGTCTCAAAGTACTTGTAAATTTGGGCGACGTACTGCATCACGCTCTGCCAGTCTGGCCGGTCTGTGTACATCATCTCACTGAGTTCCTGCATAGGAGACACATGGTCAAACCTTAGTCAAGCACCACCACTGGGAACATCGCTGGGTCCTCTGAGTAGCTGTGGCCATTGAACATCACAACTGCTTCTGTTCCAGAGCTCCTTAAAGGCACATACGGTATAAAAGTCCATGGGAATGATCTACTGGTCTAGTGCAATTCTGAAACTCGTTAACAAACCAGCTAACGGGCCGTATACAGTTTGCATTCTGAAAAGATTTCTTCCATCTGCAATCAAAGATCAATTCTCTATATAACTTCATTTAAATTGATGCATGTCTTTGGTTCTGTATTTAGCTCATGAACTCCATAATATTTTTCCTCCATATTAAACTTATCTCTTCCTTGCCATCATGTTGTTGATTTTAGCAAGGTTTTTTTAAAACATTTTAACAAAGTTGTCCTAACACTGAGCTTTCAGAGATGGTTGTGCAGCCTTCCCTAGCACTATGGGAACATTTTCAGTACGAGAGGACTGATTGACCGGATGCAATAAAGATTTTGGAACATTGTATGTAGCAAATCTTCCTTTGCTAAAAGAAGGTTACTCACCAGGCTGGGTTTGATGCCTACACTTTCAGCAGCTTGAAATGCTAACAGCAGATTTCTCTTCTGTAATAATAAAACAAAAGTTCAAAAGGATTATCATCAAAATATGATCCCTGAATCCTACCCCTTGCATCTGGTTAATAGGTAAGTTTAAATGAGCAGGTATACTTGAAAATCAAAAACCACTAGACTCAATACTTTCACATAGACACGTTTTTGTTATTAGTAAGGTAAGCTCATAAACAAGTTCTTTGTCTTTGAATAGCTCATCTGCTTTTGCCCAAGCTACAGCCCTCTGTTTTTGACAAATAAATTTTTGTGAAACATTACAACCGGGCAAAAAAACCCACTGAGATTCTATCTTTATTATGAGTTAAAGGTTTCTGAAGAGGTGTTAACTAATATAAGGCATTACTGTATATAGTATAATTCTTATTGTAGTAGATACTAGCTGTCTGACGTAAATCCAGGTTTTTACTTCATCCATGGACTTACTTTATCCTGGCTGTTGAGCTCCTGGTAAGGGATATGTGCAGGCAAATACGTGTGCAGGAGAGCGCAGAAGGCAAGCCCATCACTCCAGCTACTGCTGAAGTTGGTAATATCAATATTCTGTAAGAGAAAGCATGAACCATCATCCCTGAATATTGCTACACAACAACAACAAAAAAATCTCCAAACAATAGATTTTATGCAGTCATGAAACAAAAACTCAGAGTAATAAAGGAACATAGGTTTACAATTTCCATTTTCCCCTTCTTTTTCATCTCAAGTAGAAAGATACCAAACAAGATGGCAAGTTTCAAAGTCCTGGATAAGGGATCATTAAAGAGTTAAATGTTTTTCACAACAGGCCCCAAAGAGAAAAGCATTGGCTTTCTAGAAGGTGAGAAATACAAATTGCTGCTGCAATTTTCCTGCGCTGGCAAGAGGAAGGACTTTATCTGGTCCCTTTCAATTACAGAATGGCAGAAATATGATTTCTCCAGCACCTACAATACAATTCATTGATATTTTAAAATGGTGGTTTGTAATTGATTTCATGCTTCCTTGTCTCTGGACATGTTAACAGAAGGATGGATTTGTAGAATGATGAGACAGCGTAATCAGTGTATTTGACCACTGTTATCTTGCTGATATTTCACAGCAGATACATGCTTTAATGAGAACGTGTAATTAACAATTATGATTTGATTCATCCCCTTATCCAAAGTGACATCAAACTGTTGAGATAGTAACATAGTCCTTGAGCCCTAACTAAAGAATGTGCTTACTTGTATGTGAGAGGGAGGCTCAAACTTGGCAACACCACCAGCTGAATGGGCACCTTTCCAAGAGCTGGGCAGATGTGCCCAGTTTGCAATCATTTGCACAAACCCATGTCTGCATTCTCAGATTCTTTATCAATGCAGCATCACAGAGCACTTAAAAGGCAGACGAAGGATGGGAAGTCTGAGATACAGAATTTAACCATCTACCCTAATTCACAAAATAAGCAGGTGAGGAGAGAACAGAGGTTTCCTGGTGCTCACTCTCCTACTACCAGAATCACTGACAAATAAAAGTGGCTCCATCACTGATAACACATACAATACGAGATCCTAGTAAAACAGAAACAAACAGAAACCTTTAAACCTTGTCTTCACCCATTTTCTAACGTGACAACAAGGCTGCGTTTGTTCGAGGAAGTAATGTTTCAGGGAGCATGGATATATTAATAAACATCCAACTGAAACCCCTCAACCGAGCTAGAAAGATCTCTGACTTGTCTGTAGCAGCTCCCACCACTGCCAGCTCCAACAGGAGGGCAGTGAAAAGGAAATATACTGAAGGAAATAGTCTAATATGGTTGAGAGTTTAAATGGTCAAAACCCATATTCCTTTCTCTTGTTGCTAATATGCTGGAATTCTTCATTGCTAGTCATGTAACTTATTATCAGGGTGTGCTCAGAGGCAGGAGGAGCCCAGTTTCCTCACTCATGACAACCAAAGTTCAGAATGTGTGATGTTCAACAGGTGGATTGGAGTGATTACAGAAACAGATACTGGTATTTTAAAACCAGCCCACATGTAAAGAACTCCTTTAAAATACGAAGGCTACTGGGGTACAGACTGCACTCGGGGCTCTTCACAGGGATTCTCTTGCGAGGCACAGCTCTAAACATACACTTGTGGCCCAGTTCTGATCCTGTGAACAAGGTGACCTTTCAAATGTTCTTGTTTGCCCTGACTGGCCACACCAGCACACCAAGGAATTCTGCTGGCTAAGTTTTGCTGTTGTAGTAGCTGCTGTAGTTCCAAATACCAGCTAAAAACAAAACAGTGAACTCAGTGATACTGCTTAGAAAAGTAACAGCTGCTGGAGCATGGAAAGCTCCGGGACACGATGGTACTGCAGCATCTCTACCCTACAGAAGGTATGGAGCTACCCTCAAACCATTCTCACCAGCCACATCTTCCCTTGTGCTGAACTTCAGCTCAGACTCTCTGCCACTTCATTTTCTTTATTTAGCTATTTTCTAGTTTCTTTCAAGATTCCCCCAAAGACAAAGCTTTTACTGCATCTCTCATACAAAAGCTAATGCAGATGCACTAAAACCCAGACAGGAAGTATTTTAGCGTACGCTCTTCACTTACGATGCCTCACTGATTAGTTGTCCAACCTGGATTTCGTCCAGTCAGACCGGATTTCAGATTAGTAATAAATAGCCATAACCAAACATGACTCAAATTGAAGCACTACAGGATATTTCAGGTTAAAATACTCTAGGTGTAATAAATCTACATATCTAATGGGCTCAGAAAGCAGGCCATCAGCAGCAGACATTACCGCACCGCACCAGCCACCACATTGCATTTTGATCTATTAACATCTGTCAATGGAGATAGAAGAAAAGCAAACTCGTGGTTGAATATCATCACAAGAAAAAAAAAATGTACTTTGCTCTGAAAGCTGTTTGGCTTTGCCTTATGGATAAAGTTGCACCGTGGAGGTCCCGCTTTGTGTTATGGAATAGGCTGAAGCTGGATTACTCTGCTGGTTTGACGTTTCAGATAAACAAATCACTATTTATCAATCTGGAGCCAGTGGGAAAGGACTGACTGACAAATTACAGAGGTGTTCTTACTGAGGCCAATATATTTTATCAGCAAATAGCCTACTGTCATATGCCAATATTCTCATTGTATATTGTATGAGAGAAATGGAAAATGGAGGTCGTCCTTCCCCCCGCCAAAGGCCATGGAAACAGGAACAAACAAAGCCTTTGTTAAAGCAACAGAACCAGACAAGAAGGCAAGTCATGTTTGTGTAAGAACATTATATCCCATCCTCATTTTCATAATGCCGTTATGAGAGACACACAAGATAGAAAACTGTTCCTTCCTACAGTATTTCACCAGCGCAGCATCAGTTTGATAATTTTACCTGTCTTTGTAGTTTTTACTATGCCTAAAACTCTTCTCCTCCCTCCATCTAACAATATCTAGATTTATAAGAAGTGCTAATAGCTACAATAAAATCAGAACTAGGTACAAAACTCCTCAAATCTCCAGTCTGGCATTGTCCAGCCAGTCATTTTTGGTAATTCTTGGATCCAAGTCTTACAAACAAAAAGTTCAAGGATGGGGTTCTGCTGGCAAAATTTATACTACATATAAAATCAAGCGCAAAGTGGTGTGTAATGGTCAACAGAGAAAACAAACTCAAATAGGAATTTTTGTCCTAAATGCAAATCTAAAATGAGTGTTCAAAGGTTCAACTCAACTGTTCAGTTAATAGTACAAGAACAAACACTTAGACCTACTCAAAACTCTTAGTTGCCATTTTCACATCCAATAAGCATCAATGAATTGTGGGGGTTTTTTCCTCTATACAAACGAATTTCCTTTTCATACATGGTACAAACCTGTCTCTGGCATTTAAACTTGGATTCTGTGTTAACTACTTTTCAATTTGGGATATAAGGACATGGTAAATGAAAAGTGATCTTCTGTGTTTTGCTACACTGCAGCTTTACTTGTAATACCTCCCCATCACACCACACCAAGAGGAATTAAGTCAAAATAGAGGCACACAGATTTCTCGGAAGATCTTTGGCTCCACTGAAGCCAGGAGAAAAAAAAAAAAAAGGAAAACAATTTAGGGAATGAACACCTTGGAAACTATTCACTTCTCTTGATTATTTTGGCAGTGGAACCTGTCTCAGTCTTTCTGCCACACCTCTCTGTTCCTCAACACACAGCCCATGAGTATGTGGGAGCTATTTGTGTACATGCCAGTTGTTACTGTACACTTCCAAGCTGCAGGCTGGAGAGCTTGGTGATTTCCCTCTCTCCCAGTTTGCAGAACCCTCACCCCAAGCTCTGAAAAACAGCCTGTGGCTTCTCATGAGAGACCTAGAAGTTAATCTATACAGGATGGTACCCTTTAGGAGGAAGACAGGCCATCAGAGTGCATGTAGTATGAACACAGGGAGAAATACAAAGATGAAATAGGGACACTGCAGATCAAAGTGAGTTGTTGTGCTCATGGGGAGTTGGACTAGATGATCCCTAGAAGGTCCCTTCCAACTCCAACAATTCCATGATTCTGTGATTCGGAAAGGTGAAAAATTTGCCACCTTATTGTCACAGCATGTCTCATGGTCACTAGTAGCCCAATGTCTATCTTTGGCACTCCATCAGTGGATCCACACTGCTGAAGACATCTACACCAGAGATTAACCCCCAGCCCACAGGTCAAGGGGTGCCGAGTAGCTTAGGCCTGCAGTGCCTGGGGTTACCAGCTTCCTTTGGAGCAGACATGTCACCTCCATGTTATTCAGCACTTGACCTGGGTCTTCCGTGGTGCTGGTAAGAAAATAATTGGGGAGATGGGGGTGGTGTAGTTGAAAATCTTGAAAGTATGTGAAAGTCAGGCCAGAAGAGGGGTGGTTTTATAGTATGAAAACATAACCATCTTCACATACCCTGTGTGGAGTGGCAAAGTGGAGCACGGAAAGATGTGAAGGGTCAAGGTTTGCTGGGACAGTGGTAGAGTACTGGGTAGAGCATCGAGGTGTCTACACTAAACTATTTCCAGTGTAGTTCCCAGGCTTCTTGTCAGTGAAAATAGTTCATTCACTTCAAATGAAAGGTCATGAGCAAACTACTGTACATGCACTGGGAATATTAAGAGACTGGAATCTGGAAGCACACCGGGGAGCGTGATTATCTGAAAGTGCCATAGTACCCAGTATGGTACATTTCTATGAATTTTAAAGTACCTAACATTAAGCAAAGTTAAAAAAAAAACCCCATCCAGGCAATGTTATTTAGAGAGCAAACGTATTATCTATGATATTAGTGTCAGGCCAAGTCTAAGAGACACTAAACACCTGCAAGTCGTTAACCTTAGCCCCCACCCCAGGAACAGGACCTTTGCTTGCAGATAACAGAGCACTCTGAGAGCCACAGTAAAGACACCCAGTGAAATCTGTGTGATCTGTTCTCACTAAAAACAATTTCTTGTTTATCTGAGGAAAAAACAACCACCCCATTAGATTTCACTAGATCTTTGACTCCAAGGCTTCAGTAAAAAGCAACAATGACATCACAGGCTCTTCATTACA